AAAGATCAAATGTAGAAGTAGGTTATTATAAACAAGAACGATAAATATTTTCTTCTAGAATGAGATATCTTTCTTAAGGTAGTATCAAATTGCTTTTGTAGTAAATTGAAAAATAAAAATAAGCAGTAGACCGTTATTATTTATAACAAAAATTGGACTCTTTACTCAAGTATACAGAAATACTAAATGTATTATTTGTTGTAGTTATGAGTTTGTTAATAATGGAGGATCATTTTGTTTGATAAGTGTAGTTGAGATTCCGATCGTTCCTTTCATAGACTAACGGATCGGAATCATAATCACAGCATTTTATCTCAACTTTGCAGAGGGTATTTTACTGCATATTTTTTCCTTTTTTATTTTTATACTTGTTCCTTTTTTATTTTATACAATAAAGATTGAACTTACTTTGTAGTTTATTTGTTATTACAGCAATTTTCCTATACCAATAGTATATTCTTTTTTATATTGTAAAGTCCTAAATTGTGTTCTGGGAATTGCCTGAAAGCAATCTTTTTCGGATTTTATGTAAACTATTAGTTTGCAGTTTTCTTTTCACAAAATAACAAAGTCGAACGAAGAAATAAGCATATCTATATTAGTATGCCCACTTCAAGATAGGACTACAGATCATCCACGTTTGCGACCGCTTTTCCTTGTTATATGGATCCCCAAAAAACAAATTTGATTAAGAAATAAATTATACATAAATAAATTTTCAACTTTTGGCCATTACTTAGTAAGTTTATACCAGCAGTAAGGAACCAATGCAGAAAGTGGCAAAGTTTTTCTAAATAATGAATTTATAATTAGGTAGCCTTTTAATAAAAGCTGTGCGGCATTTTGCCTTTGATAAAGTATCTTACGGAACTTAAAGTTTGCTTCCGTTTTTACTACTGAAATAGGACTTTGAAGAGATCCCTATAATTTCCTAAACAACAAACGGGAGGTTCTTTCATTGAAGCCTTTTTGAAACGTATTATATAAATATTTTACATTTTGAATGTTTCAAAATGTTTTAGCATATGATTTATATTTTCTATTTTTTCTTTGTATTTTATAGAAGTTAGTATATTAAGTTTTCTCTGCATTATAGAGTTGTAAAGTGGGATTACCATAGTTATAAACTTGGTCATGACATTACTGCTTAACGACTTTTCAGCACGAACTCATCCGCATTAGATACGCCTGTTTTTACTATACTGTAAAACTTATTATGATAAACAGTATTGCGGAATTATTATGATCCTGGTCCCTATTAAATTAAACAAAGCTTAAAGTTTTGACAAAGGCAGTATGTATTATTATAAAAAAAATTGTGTTTCAAATTCTAAAACATTGTTTTAATATTAAGATCATAATCTTGTGTTTACGTAAATGTTTGATACATCGTAATACCTTAAAAAAGGGTATTTCAGTTTTAAAAGAAACTGATTTGTTTTTAAGGAGTTGAGAGCTCTTAAAGAAAAAAGAAATTGTTAGTATTGTTTTGCTTTATGCTTATAAAACATATTGTTATTAAACAATATGATGAATGATAAAGAATCGTTCGTAGATTATTTCTATTATATATATATCTTTCTTTTATCTATAAATGTTACACTTATAAAAAGACAAAGATACTATTTCATATTAAATAAAATAGACTTTTTTGTCGATTGTTTGAAAAACTACAACAGCATGTAGTGAAATGCGAAATAATTTATGTGAAAAAGTCAAGTGTTTCTCTTATCCTTTGAAGTTTAATCTAACTATTTCTATTATTTAAACATTTTAAGTTTTCTTGCAATTTTCCGAGCAACCTCGCAGCGGTTGCGGCTTTCAAAACTTTCTGTTACAAAACTTTTGGATTCTATTACTGTAAAACTGTCTTAAATATTCCGTAATTTCGAGATAAACGGATTTTGCGAATTATGTCAGAATAGAAACCCAATTTCATTTTAACTGCAATGGCAGTGATAAGAGTTCTGCGACTATAGAAGCACTCGTTATTTATTCAGGAAATACTAATTAATATAATTTCAGTGCTTTTATAATTTTCACATTTAATAACTGGCTTAGTTTTTTCATTGAAATCATATTCCTCGCAGTAAGTGCAGTAGGTAATTAATGTAGATTGGCGAGGCGATTATATTTTTAATGTTTTTAGTTTGAAGAGTAGATAAAAAAAAACTGTTTATTTAAAAGTAGCTGTGTCAGTATTTATCTAATTATAATAAAATAAAATACAAATGGAATACACTGGAAGCCCTTTTCCAAAATTATGTGAGAAATTCATTCACAGTGAATAAAATTTAATGTCAAAATATATAAGTTATATAGACACCGCAGTCATCTGGTGTTAAACGGTGAAATGACTTTTTGACCGATTACAAAGGAACTTACGAGTGACTAAATAAGAAAGAAACTATTACATAAATAAAAAAAATCCTATACATATATACTGTTGGATAAAGCATCGCCTTTGACGTGTCGTGCTCAATTATATAAACCTTTTTGTATTTCTATTTATCCGTATATGACCTCTAGAAGAGTTTCGCCATCGTATGTATGAACAGGGATGTTTTAATTATGTCGAGATGGTATCATGGCATAATATTATGACATCTCAACTACCCTCAATTTTGTCAAAGGATGAGGATGACCTTTTCATGGTTTTGACGATGAAAAATCCAATTAGGGACATTTTATATCTTTAATAAAATGTACCGTATTTAGAGTTAGCAAGTTGGAATATTTCTATAATTGATAATATCATATTATAAACATCTGATTATGTCTTAATGAAAGATTTACATGTAATTAAGACTACATATCCAGAGATAAAATAAACAAATACCAAAAAATATATGCTATTTGTAAGTGTATGTAAAGTGGAAAAATACTTTTTAATACTAATAACTTCTTTGACAATTCTATTTAAATATATGAATACAACATATAATAAAAATTAAAATATCCATTTGAAGATTTTAAGTATTAGTTTAGTACTTTTAGTTTTATATTCGAGAACGTGCAGAAATTGTCTTATTACAAAACTCGAAACAGTTAAAACTTTTAATTAAAACGGCTGTGCTTTTGTATGAAAGTTTTGATATCATGTTATTCAAGTTGTTATTACAATTGTTGTGATCGTACGGTAGGTCGCAATAATAATCTTAATCTGGTCCCAATCAAAAAGTTGTTTTAATTTTTATTGTCAAAGCGTCGATATGCATTCTGAGCATGACCTAGATCAGCCGTTATAATCAGTCGTCATTCTCATGAGATTTCATTCTATTTTTCGATGATTTGTTTGATGTTTTGACACTTGGACTGAGTTCAAGACATTAAAAATGATCGTTCAATTCAAAGAATAATTATAATTCAATAATTCAAATAATATTAGCGTTAACATAATGCAATCAAATTTATAAAATTCTTTAAAATCGGTTTAAAAGTTTTCTTGTCATATAATAACAAAAATAAAAAATGTCATGTGCAGGAGCTATGTAGTACTTTATTATAAAGAAACATTCTTGTCCTATTCAATGAAATAAAAATGTACATTGAACAAATTTATATATAGTTTATTTATGTATAGAAAAAAGTATACTGTTTAAAGAGATCGCAAACAAAAAATACTCTTAAGACTACTCTTTTATAAATACAGCACATGCATTAAAAAATATTAAAGCTTCAAGGAATGTTGTGCTTAATTAAAATATACATCAACTGGGTATTTCAATCGAGAACAAATACAATGATATATTGTTGTACTGTATCCAGTATATATTCATGAATAAATTATCATAATTCAACAATTCTAAAACTACATTACATAGAATTCTTGGTTGTATTTTAATTGGTATGGAAATGTTCAACTTGAATAAAACTGAACTGTGAAATAACATAATTTGTTTACGTTTACTTTAAATTTCAATTCTATTTATATGTTTAGATCTTTTAAATATTTATTATTCTTGAAGTACATAGTATTACGAAATAAAATATCTAAAAATATTAACAAAACATTTTCTAAATATTTCTATAGTATTGTTAACATTTTTGTTTAGAGTTATTCTAGGTAACAATATAGTCGTCAGATTAAAATATATTCCTTTATTCTCTATCTATTATATTTCTTTATAGAATAGTGATAACAATAAGTATAAAATAAAAAACTTAAATATACGAAAGGATTTTAAAAGACTTGTTAACTTTAAGTGTATGAAAATACTTAACTGCAAATTATTAATAATTAGATTGTTTAAATTTTATATACGTTGTTATTGTTCTATGATCATATGATATCATACATGATAAATCGTGGTATTTCAATATTCATTTTTCTGGAGTATTAATTATATCATGGTACAAATAATTTTTTACACTGTAATAATCTTATATTATTGTTTGATATTTTAAAGCAGTATTTTAATATACTTTTTTATATCCCGAAGGAGACCAGGACTTAACATGGTATTTCATCTAATTAGGTCATTTTAATAACATGTAAAACATTTCGATCAGATCGAAATTAAAATAGGATGAAAGTATATAAAATTGTACATGTTCTGATTAAAGTAATGACAGTCAAAGACATTTCAGAAATCTTTTTATGAAGATAAATATTTTTTTAAATATCTAAGAATTTAATAAGTACACATTTAGATAGAACTACATTTATTAGATTTCAAAAGAGTCAACGCTTTCGTCTCGTCTTTCCGTACATGGTACTGAAATAGTATAAACTTAGAATAAAATGTAAAATTAATAGCAAAAAACGGGATAATAATTCTTTTAAACTTTTATATTTTATTTAAATATATTTCTAAATTTCTACTTATATTTATCAATAACTTCAAATAAAATTAAAGAAAATTTATTTCACAATTAAGTCTTATATATGTATATGTAGATTAGTTAAAAGTAGTATATATATGTAGATTTATATATATATATATATATATATATATATATATATATATATATATAATGCAATATTTTTTGTGATAGTGATGGTGGTGGGCGATGGCAGCGCGCGGTGGGCGCTGCGAACGGCGTTTGTTTGCTTGCTCATGGGCGTGCTTTCCCCGGAACGTCTGGAGCCATGCGTGTCTAGTCCACTCTGCTCCTGCCGCGCTGCCCACATGTCCTGCACAGCTGTACCATTACATAGGTTTCCAGGTCAATTTTGTACATTATATTCCTTACACCAATAAAATATTTTACAATAGGAGGGCACTAATTATTACTTCTGCAAAGTCCAAAGCTGAAACTTGTTCATATTTTTATGTACGAGTATACTCGTTCCAAGATTTAGAACATAAAGACATATCTTTTATTCAAAATAATTTGATTAGAGTTATCCTTGTGAATGTATACATATGTATGTTTATAAGGTTAAGCAGTAAGACAACTTTCCTAACAATAGCACTGTAATAAAAGTCTTCTGTTAGCACAAGCATTAGTGAGGTAATAATCATTAAGTTTAATTGTTATGGTTTACAATTAAAGTCACTTAAGAATAGTGCTTAACTTGGTGCTAACATTTTAACACCATAACATTGAAAAGATTCGTAATTGATATCGTTCCTTCAAAAAGTTATAATTATAATTGAAAATTATAGAAATTTATCTTTAGCGTCGATGTTTTTTGCAATATTAGCCATATGAACAGAAAGTTCTGATGACGAACTGAGGTATTTATTTTACAGAATGGCCACAAATAGAACTGCAGCACCTCGACATAAGTATGTCGAATCTTGAAGTAATACCCGAAAGTGCTTTAGACGGTTTGAAGCTTCAGACTTTGGTATTAGTTGCAAATAGAATACACTACATCGAGATCCACGCTTTTAGGTTTGTCATCTTTACTTACCAATTATGTTCAGCTATATTATATAGTACATACTTTAGTTTGTAATATTAATACTTAAGGCAAATTCAACAAAATTATGCAACTGAAAGACAAATTTTTAGTGTTTTAGACTGTACGTTTTGTACTATACGTACATTCCCGTGATGGCATTATGTGTATCATTTTTGTTACAGCTCCATGGCGAATACTTTAGCATCCTTAGATTTAAGCTACAACGAATTTACTGAAATTCCAGAAAATGGTTTGAAAGACCTAAAAGTACTTAATTGGTTAAATTTACAAAAGTAAGAAATATAATTTCAAAATATCTATTTCATAATAATCTTATTTATAATAATGAACTTTTTCTTTTTTTTTTTAGCAATTATATAGCTGAGATAAATCCCGGCATAAAATGGCATCATTTGGAGGATACTTTGACTAGTTTATCTTTGAGTAATAACCAAATAACAGAGCTGAGGCCTCGGTCTTTTACATTTTTATATCATCTTCTACAACTAGATTTAGAAGGAAATTATCTCCGTGTCATAAGTTCAAATTCATTACCATCATCCCTAACAGTCCTTAAATTATCCAACAATTTCCTACATAAAATATCCTGTGATTTAATATTTAAATTGCCTAGGTTACAGATGTTACATATAAGACATAATTGGATAACTTTCGAAGTTAATTCATCAAATGTAAATAATAGAACTAAGAAACTAGAAAAATTAGATTTAAGTAATAATAATATAAATGACTCGACAGATATTGTTATTTTTCGGGAAATACAAATAAGGCAAATAATACTAGATCTCAACGAGTTGTCTGTGGTCCCAAGGTCGTTATATTTAAATAACAGAGTGGAGAGACTTTCGATATCGTATAACAAACTCAGTTCTATTTACCGAGAAGTTTTTATATCTCTCAAAAATAGTCTTGAACATTTAGAGGTAGAACACAACAACTTATCTCATTTACCTGATAGTTTGGCGCAGGTCTTGAGACTTCGACATTTATCGTTAGCTTACAATCAGCTTGAAGAGTGTCCTCCTCTCCCGAGTCGTATTCAAACGTTATCAATTGCTGGTAACTTTCTTACTTCGATCCCTTCTGTACTTCAAACATTAGAACCAGGTTCAATTCGTTATCTCGACTTAAGCTACAATAGAATATCGAATTTGTCACCGAATGAATTCCAAGACTGGTCTTCGTCTCTAGGGACTATAAACCTGAAAGGAAACAGGATTGCACAGATTTATAAAAACGTTTTCCCCGCTCACATGCCGGTACGGGACATTAACTTGAGCTTTAACGATTTATACTACATACATCCTCATTCCTTTTCCAATTTAACTGGCTCTTTACATGTTTTAGAATCTTCTGCTACACTTTTCAGTGGCTATTTTCCGTTTGAGATGAATGACGGTTTAGAAAATTTGAATTGGTTATCTTTTGACAACAACGACTTTCATATCCTAAAGTTATCAGAAATGTCCTTGTTTCAAAGTTTAAAGTACTTAAATCTAGACTACAATAGAATCGTAGAAATTATTGTCGACGAGGATGGTTACAACATATCGTTATCTCTTAATGATGTGAGAATATCGTATAACTTTATAAGCCTTATTCGGCCTAAAACCTTTTCACAAATGCCCGAATTAAGAAACTTAGATTTATCTTATAATCGTATCAATAACTTGACTAAGAACAGCTTTAACAACTTACCCAATTTAAGATATTTATCTCTTGCGGGAAACGTAATCGACTCGATAGAAGTAGAAACATTTGTTAATTTACCAAAACTAGAGATACTAGAACTTCAGGGAAACAACTTAACGTATTTGTCTCTTTACTCTTTATGCAATGTTTCCAATGTTCTTGACACGTTTACACTTAATATAAGTCGAAACAAACTAGGCTCAATTGAAGGGGACGTGACTATTGCTATAAATATTTTTGACGGATCACATAATGACTTTCATGAAGTGCCAAATAACATTTTTCTCGCCGCTGAATCTTCGATAAGGCAAATTATATTATCACATAATAAAATTACTCACATTTCTGGTGATGTTTTTGGACAGTCCATTTATCTAGAGATATTAGATTTACACAAAAATAGAATAAGCGTTATAAAAAGAAAGTCATTTACAGATCTTATATCTCTGCAAATATTAGATTTATCGTATAATAGCATTTTTCAATTATCTGTAGAACAATTTTATAACTTACGTAAACTAAGGTATTTAAAGATGGACCACAATAATGTTAGACTTCTTCCACGAGACGTTTTTAAAAATACTGTTATAGAGCATTTGGATTTAAGTTTTAATGAAGTTTCCCTGTTCCCAGTAACTGCGCTCTCGCAAATTGGATTTACTTTAAGATACCTGGATTTATCACATAACAAGATTGAATATTTGGATAGCAACATTTTTCGGAATACACAATTTTTATCAAATTTAAATTTAGCTCACAATTTGTTAACCGTTTTATCCGATAACACGTTTTTCTGTCTCGGAGTTTTGCGAAGCTTGGATTTAAGCTTTAACTCTATTAAAGCAAATTTTAAAGAGCTGTTTCATAACCTCCCCCATTTAAGGCATTTAAATCTTGCAAGCATAAGTTTAAAGACAGTGCCTTATCTGCCTTTAACAAATTTAACAAGTTTAAATTTAACGTCGAATTACATAACAACTTATAAAGAGTCTGACATGAAGAGATTAGAAAATCTTCGACATTTAGATCTTAGTCATAATCGTCTCACCTCTTTAGTGCCAAAGATGTGGATCCATTTAAGAAACTTAAACGTACTAGATATTTCATATAATCCTATCGTAAGAATAACGCCAAATAGTTTTAAGTCATTAAACAACTTATCATATCTTAATTTGAACGGTCTTAAGTATTTAGATATAGTTGATCAAGATTCTTTCCGTCCCTTAACATCCTTACGATCCTTGCGTATCCAGACGTGGTCAGCAATAAATCATTCAACATTTCGACTAGCTAATATAACATCATGTCTCCCATCTCTGTATAAATTGTCCGTGCATTGGACCGACGAAGTTATGAATAACCAACTACATGGAATTGACGCTCGAAAAATCAGATACTTAGAAATTAAAGGATCTAAATTAAGAAGCATAGCAGATGGAGCGTTTGAGCCATTTAGTAGCAGTCAAGAGATATACATTAGAATAAGTGAGACGTCTTTAACAAAATTACCTGCAACATTTATTAGACATCTCTCCCAAGTTCCTCAATTAGGAATCGATTTAAGCTATAATCAAATATCGAAGTTAGATCCAGCTATATTTTACCCCAATTTTACAAGTTGGAGTCACGTCGCTACAAAATTACTTTCAGGTATGTATTTCTTTTAAACGTACATTGTTATAATAAAATTCTTGTATGTGTGAAACTTAAAATAATGAAGAAAAATAATAAAATAAAGGTACTCACTCTATAAATAAAATAATTACAAATATTTCCAAGTAATAGTAAGTATATTTTTAATGAAAAAAAAAAAAAAAAAATTGCTTGACAGAAAACGCTTGACAGAAGTAATTACTTAAACTATTTAATATTGCAATTGGGTGACTTATAAAAAGTTTAGGTTATTGCTTAAATTTTATTTATATTACAATAATAATCTGTTTATATTCCCACAAGAAGTTATCACTTCAATATATTTTTACCACTTAACTTGGGTGCACTGATTACATTTTTGATTTTTAACTCAACATTTCTATATTAAGAATAAAACATTTGCTTGTGTATGTAACTAATAAGACTTATTTAGTCTTTTTCCGCTATATATGAACAATGTAAGAAAGTCAAATTCTAAAACATCAATCTATTTAAATGATTTATAAATAATTAGTGAACAATATAATCTTACAACATGTGGTTTCTCAAGTGGAGATACCTTTTACATACTTTATAAACATACAACGACCTTCATCTTTGTAATGAGTTTTAATTCTTAATAGACTCCCAAAATTTCCTCCAGCGAAATTACGTCTGAATTATATATCACTCGTTTTTGTCATTATTCAGGAGGATTAATTCTAACGGGAAATCCGTTGCGGTGCGAGTGTGAATTGGCTTGGCTAGGCGCATGGTTGCGACGATGGTTGCAAGAGAATGAGGCTAATGGGGAATTAAGACGAGCGGTCCGAAGTGCCACCTGCAAAGACCAGCTAGGGAGACCTGTTCCGCTCCTTCAATTACGTGCCGACGAAGCCGATTGTCACGCTAGTGCGCTGTCGAGTGATGCACAGCCCAACTATAGCAACGTCATTTACACATTTGCAGTCACAATATTGTTTATTATTCTTAGATGATAATTATATATTTATAATTTTGTCCTTATAAATTGTACAACTATAATTATATAATAACATCAAACGGTATTTTGGCGATTATGTAACGATGCAATTTATAATTCAGGGCAAATGATTATTATAGATAAGTAGATCGACACAACTTTGTAAATAATTTTTTTTCCATGGTTAAAAATATTTCTTTCGATTTATATCATCTGATCATTTGACAAAAAACTCTATGGTTTAAGTTTCGTTATTTAAATCAGTTATTATTAACTTTCATTGACTGTTTTGTTTTGCAGTAAAATCATATCAATGGCGAATTTAAATGATATACTTGGAAAGATGTATTTTAGACGGTGGTATCATTTATATAATATTGTTTATTATAAATAAAATTTGTAAATATGTATAAAATAAATATTTTGATTAAATCGATTTTTTTATTACTTTCTTCACCTTTGTCCCTGGTGGGCTTTTAAAAATAATTAGATTAATTTCCGAGAAGGTGAGCAGTTTATTTATATAAATACACTTTCTTTTAAATAACTTTATATTATTTGTACCATTTAAGTAAATAAAGAAACAGTGTCCTTTTGTTGTTTATTATTATTTTGATATTTAATTTGATTTTAAGATTCATATTTATTTACGTACGTCTACTTTTACTAATTAAAAAAGAATATTTCTACTTCATTGAATAATAATGTGTTAAATATTTTAATAGTTTTTAATTTCATTAAATAATGTTCAACAATCTCATGTATACATTTACGAATCCAATATTTTTGGCTGTTCAGCTGTAAGCAATTAGCGCCCGTGGCTTTACTCTGAGTACGATAAAACTTACTTAATTAAAACGAATCTGAGGGAACTACAATTAGCGCATCACCCCAACATTTAAAAGACGTGATTAAGACATAATACTAATTAAATCACACGTTTTATCCGTCATGAAGTAACAATTATTACAATAATTTATTTTATAAACTTGGTGGGTTATTTTTTAATATACAAATTAAATAAGACTTCCCTCACATTTATTTCAACAAATATAGATATAAATCTTTATTGAAGATCGATTCTATTTAACACAGTTGCTTTGTACTATTTTTAGAACACTTGCATATACGAAATGCTGCTGAAATGTTGACACGGTACACTCTTTAAGGGCCACTTGCATAGCTTCACCTAGCCTTAGGCTTTAGTCCAGTACTGGCTTCACGAATAGCGAGAATGTGCATCGAAACTGAAAAGTATTTTTTTTTCTATTTTGATAGAATTAAAAATACATGATATAGCATTAAAATAGTTACAGCTTTAATATTCTTATAATTTACATACTAAATTTAAGTAAGTTTATTTCCAAAAAGAACAAAGTTCGCTTACAAAGGAAATTTTAAAATTATAACTACAATTAAGATATTACAAATAATAAACAGTAGTGATATTAAACAAGATCAGTGAAATCATCTTATATATGGGTTCTAATTGTTTTAAACACTTAGGGGCAAAGAATTAAGAGGTTTTCGTAACTGCCGCTTTTCAAAGGATCTTTTATCTACGTGTATAAAGTTTTAAAAAAAACTCGCCGATATTTCAACAATTTGTTTTGCCAAAATTTAATTAACAAATAAAACATTCTCTCTTTTTGGGAAAACTGTAGTCATTGTTTGCCCAGAAATTCTATTTTAAATATTTTAGACATAAATTGTTACTACGGCTTCGTAAACTATTGAAAACATACAAAGTGATGAAATGATATTTTTTATTTACTTTTTAATATGAAATTTCGTTGTCAAGACTTGAATTTATGTAGAAACTGACCCGAGGTAAAATCTAATGCAAAAGATCTTTGAAAATTTGTTTGAAAAGCCCAAATACACTTGCTATGTGCCTGTCCCACATGAATACAATTTATTACTGTGTAAAGTTTATCTTGGAAACTGAAACAATTCCGATTTGGAAGCTTCTGTGTTCAATCAAAGTTTCTGAGTTGATATTTGTTTTGTAGATTTATTTTGTCATTATAAAAGTTTTATACGAAGAGTTTATGATGCTAAGTTAAACAATATGTAAAGATTTAGCACAATTATAACATGCCATTATTTTATTCTGTAATCTTTTCTTGATAAATATCTTATGTCTTGTATTTATATTATATTTCTTTTTGTTTGTTGCGATTTTTTTCTTTTTAATAAGTGTTGAGTAAAAATATTAAAATTTTGATTTTTTTTTCTTTTACTGTTTATGGTAATTATATTGTGTTGCATGTGTTCGATTATAAATAACATTTAAAGTGCATTTTAGGGATAATTTGAATGTTTAATTATGATATATTATAATTAAAAACTAAAATAAAAAATAATAACTGTATGTTATACTCTCGTTTTATAATTGTCCATGTCAAAGAATTTATTACTTTAATTTTACCAATAAAAAAACATCAAAGAATGGAAAGTATTTATTTTTGGATGAATTCTGATTTTTTAGCGATAAAAAATATTAGGTATATTTTCCCTGACTTTCGACGTATTTAATTTATAACTCATTTTATTTGGAAGACACTTTCTTAGCTATTGTCTGGGTATATAATTTGATTGATGCTTAATATATTTTCACTCTTAAAATTAAAATTTTCGAACTTAGTGAGAATCACAAAATACAAACCTTTATATATCCAACTTTTATATAAAGTATTAAAGTATAAGTTTAATACTTTACAACAGTATTTTTTGCTCATATTCTTAATAAATAAATTTTAATCTGAATTTGTGGAACCATATATCAGATGGTAATTGAACTCGTAGTTAAACATATTTTTCCATGCATAAACCCTTTTTAGAGGTGTTATAATGGTCATAATGATTCACCAAGTATATCTTTACTGTAGTGGAAATGAATGTCAACTTTGGAAGTTTGGCCATTTGTTATAAGGACTATTTTACTCTAGAGAACATAACGCAATTGTCATATTTTAGTACCTTAGTAGCCACTGCGCTTGCGTGTTGAGCCTTCAAGTCCCTCCGGGTTGCGAGGTCGAAGGTATGTTACAATTACATTCCACATACGTTACCTGAAACGACTACAAAGGATGACCGTGTCGAATGACGTCCATGACAACATCCATAGCAATGACAGCCTATGTCATGGGTATATGACTTGCACGTTTTTATTATTGATGACCAATGTTATCATAAATATTGAAATATACTATGATATGGGTTGAATAGTTTTATATCGGTGTGTATTTTATTGATGCCAATTAGTGTGTATGAGAATACGAGTCCCGGTTTTCTTTGTTGATGATAACTAACAATACAATCTATTATATTACCATAATTATACTATTATTGAAGTGTAAACAATATAAAACTTGTCCAAAATATCAGCAGCAGAATAGCAGCAATTTTCTCCCGCAGCCAAAACTAATGGCATGGAAGCAGCTAAATGGACGTGGGATGACTTTTATTTCTGTATTTCTTTGTATTGCTAAGAAAAACAGTCGATTAACGGGTACTTGGTCTTAAGGCGATTTTTTGCTTTTATTTTTCTCAACGTTCTATACGATTGGTCTGTTACTGGAAATGCTACTCTTCATCTTATAAGTACTAAAAAAATATCATATTTTACAAATATAAAATAACCTCTTCATAAGTATTTCAGAAATTATAATGACAATTATATTTAAAAGGTTATTAGAACGAATGAAATTGTGTAAAGAGTATAATTAAATGTAAAATTATGTAACCCTCAAATGTGTCATGCTTTGCGAATAAGGGGCAAAAGAGTTATAATTCCCTCTAAAGTGTTAGTTTAGGACAAAATTCGGATGTTTAAAACCAAATTCCGATGAAAGGGAACTCGATTATTCAAATTGAATTTATTAACTTTTTAGAAATACAACTAATTACTTAATTTATTATAAAGTTGGCTATCGGTTTACTAATTCAAACAAAATTATTAGCCAGTAACAGTTTAATTCCAAACACAAAAATTTTCATTTAGATTTTCGTTGAACTGGACTTTACAAAAGATTTTTAGTTCTTTTTTTTAAATTGAAATCCCATAAGGATAAAACAATTCATTTATTAATTTCATAAATTTTCTTCCTTACTTTATTTTTCCTTCTTATACATTATACTTATAGAAATTATTATTAAATTTTCCTATACAGCTTGTTTGCAAACTTTCCGATTCAGTTGCTTCACTTGGTTACCTTTTTCTTGTTTTCCTTTTAGATAGCTGTTATAAAAATACACTTCAATGACTTTCTATCATTGTTCCAATTTTTTTCATTAGAAACAATATTAAGAGAATCTACCTATATATGAATATAAGCTATTTGTATGATGCGTTATATTGTTTATATGCCGGCTGCTAAAATATTTAAAAGATTGTTAGATAACGATGCTATATTAAAATGATTAAAAATGTCATATAATATATTTTCTATCTTATAAATAAAATATAAACGATAAATTTCATTACAAATACTCCGTCTTACACTTTAATTAAATGTAAGTTTAATTAAAACAAAATCTACCAATTCGTAGCATTAAAGCCGAAGATTAATAATTCAACTAGAGAATTTGTATCAAATGCCAAGAAATTGCATGAAAGGCCGATACAACAAGGGAATTTAATCAACACGAAATTTCTCTTACTTTGGTAATGTTCAAATTCTTATTGGTACTTTAAATAGTAAGCAATATAAAATGATTTAAAAGTCTGTAGCTACCTACAAGTGTACATTAGTAATGAATTGATCATTATTTAATATATGTTGACATATGTTACAAGAGGGGCCATCCTTGCCGTCCTAATTATAATATCCTATAAATATCAGAATTATTTTTATGACTAATTATTATTTATAGTTAATTATACTACTGAACCATTGTAATTTTGTAATGGCAACATTTAGTACCAGCTTATATTTGAAAACTATAAATACCGGCTTCAGAAGTCTTGTAAAACATGACTAGAAGTAACCCTCACTATTAAAAATGAAGTTTGAAACTGGAACTGTACCTCGAACTCATTTGTTTTTTTGCGATAATCCCCAAAAAAAACTATATAAGTGTGTATGAACATATATAATGTAGAGCTCTAATAAATATATATGCAAGTTTTTTAAGGGGACTAATCTTATGGTGCTTATGGAACCCTATAATGTTAGTTTAGGACGATCCAAAGTTCCTTTATAAACGTAACGGCTATCCGTGGTAGGGTAAGACTAAAAAAGGTGTATCCTTCATGACATATGTAAAGTATTATTTTGCATCAATTGTTGTAAAGGAGAAAATATTAAGAAAGAATTATAGTGATAATTTACATTTAAATTTTTTTTGCACTACTTTTTTCTGTTTACTAAAATTTAAAATTAAGAAAACAAAACAATTTATTTCTCACTTATCGTCATTAAAAATAAATTATGTATAGTTTTTAATTAAAATTTTACAAAAAACCGTTCTATTATAACATTTTTTTATTACTGTTACTTAAGTACAATTAATTTAACAGCTGTTGTTTAATACAATGGAATGTATTAAGCCTTCTATAGTGATTCTATTGTAATATCTGAAGTGTTCCTACGTAACCACATTAATATACAATATAATATCACTGGCCTTTCAAGATAATATTATTATTGATATCGATATTGGCATTGTTAAGCATTATATGTACACAAAGATATTGTATCATAGGATCATCTTAGGCTATGATTAATTATTTTTCGTAAATGGTTTGGAGATAACAAACTTAATTTTATAATTACATAAATAAAAAGTGTATAATTTCTAGAATATGATTAGTTGAAATTTTCATTCCTCATTAAAATCTCTATGAATAAAATAATTTTGAAAATTAGCCTCAATAACATTTCTTTCTAAGTTCTAATTTAATTTCGATTCGGACGGAAATTGACAGAAGTTTTCTTTAGATTCGCCCGTCACCATTGACGAATAGATGCTTATATCGAGGCCTATGAACAAATGATGTCATACATCACTGACAAGGTAAAACTCTCATAATACTAAAATTCTTATTTAGTTTTAAAAAATAAAATCATTTTATATATAACTATATTTTGTTATTAGAGATAAATATCATATTTAAGTGTTACCTAATTGAAGTATTATGCATATTATTCATATTTTCAAGTATTATTTTTTTAATCTTAAGCATATCGCTTGTATTTCTGACAAAATATTTTGTTTTTGAGGACGAGCCGACGTCAGAAACAGTCGAATTAGCTATTATAATAAAATATTCGTTCCAGGAGTGCTTTTAATTCGTCTTTGTGCTTTTAATTGGTCGTACAAGATGTTAAGGAATTCTGAATGTGACGAAATCAGTTACCGATATAGTCTTATTGCTGATTAGTTACCCTTACCATTGGATAGGTCCAGAAATTTATGATATTGTTCACTTATAGATTATTTCTTTCAATATTAGAATATGAAAAGTTTCTTATGAATATTGTGTTTGAGTGTTTGTTTTTATGATGTAATTAAAGTAAATCTAGCCCATTTAATGGTGTTGCTACATAATTGGCTGTGTATCTAGTCACGAGGGGTGGAGTAGTCTCAGGGTACACCTGGTTATTCCGCACAGCGTGAAGTTGACAGGTTGAGACGACTTTCCAAACGACACCTGCCCCTTAAGTAAGAGTTATCAAGCAACCTGCTTACCTTTTCCGAATTGTTCGTAACTATTGACTCAACTGCACATTAAACAGTTCTTTCTATAAAAAAAAATCTGTTTGTTTTAAAAAACACTTTACGAATAATGTAGTTTATCCATTTTCAATGTATATACTTAATACTTTGTTTAATTAATAGTTTTTAATATATATATATACATATATTTTTAAACCTGACAAAATTTATAATCTTAAGTATTGCTATTGACTTATATGCTTCTATTTCATATGTAAATATATATGAAACAGAATAATAATTAAAAAGAATAGTAAGTTATATTAAAAATATTAAAAAAGGTCAAAAATGCCTAAATTTAACCTTCCAAAGAGAAATAACACTTATTTTGTATTCAAAAATCTTCCTAAACGTACATACATTAAAAAGTCAAACAATATTAATTTGTCATTGTGATACTGATACATATTAAAATAAACATTAAAACATAAATTACTTACGAGGTATTTATAGAGGTACCAAATCTTGAAAGGCTACATCCATTTTCCGCAATTTGGTCATTGATTCATTAGAAGTGAAATCTTGACGAAGGTAAAGCGAAGCAGAACCTGTCAGTATAGAGAATAAACACACTTTAGATGAAACATCCTAATGGGTACATTGTACCGAATTAATTGACATACAAACTTAATTTACTTCATTACGCCCTTTTTAACAATTTTATTGATTTATAATAATACTATACTCAACACTGATCATATCCTTCTTTCGATAAAGTAGTATCTATACCCAAGGTTCACACAAAAAATAATGTAAAATTTTGAGTGTAGAATGTGTATTTAGTATTAAAAAATATTTAATATGGAACTTATTAATAAAGCGATTATTAAAAAAATATTAACATTTAACAAAGATTTTGAATAACGAATCTGAGATAGAATGAAACGGCAAGGAAATAGCAATTTTCCTCGAAGGTAATTCGTTTGAAGCACGCCATTTTTCCATTACCCAATATCAATATTGTTTCGTCTTCATCGTTCACAAATGGAAGTTATGTATGATAGTAGAATCGCATGATTCTATAACTTGATACATTGTAATAACATACGCTTAAATTTTCTTCATTGATTTCTTCTGTTCAAATTTTCTGCTTTTATATAAAAAGAAATATACTTTCATATTAAAAATGCGACATTTACTTATAACTACGTTACATGTTTTTAGTTACTTTGCTTTTGCCTATTTTGTTTTATATTTCTTCCACGCGGTTTCAGCTGAGTGAATTATTAATAGTAATAGGGCGTGACCTAATTTTTTTTCTACTTAAGTCTTTCCGTAAGTTTATAAAGGTTTTCAAATTTACTTAATTTTAATAAAAAGCTTTAAATTAGTTAAAGATAACCGTGAATTTATTTTATTCAACAGGTGAGTGATTTTGCAATGATTTTGGCAGCGCTCCATTCCTTGTTCTTTTTATTTTTGATGAGTGGTTTCAACACCACTTCAAACTTTTTAAGGGTTATCTGACCATCCTTTATTTTTTTTACATTTGAAAAAAATGTATCGACACTTAATAAACGACTCATATTGCCACTATATTGTGTCTAGATTAGCGGTGGCATCTAGTCTGGATTTGAATACAAAATAGTAGTGCAGTTGACATTTATTAGTTTCATAGTTTATTTATAATAGCGATAAACCTAAAAATTAATTAACGTTCAATATAAAATGCCTAGAAGAAAAGAATAAGATAAAGATAGGTAAAAGTTTTATTGGAATAACTTCATGTTTTTAAGAATCAGCGTAAGCACTTCTCTTCTAAGATTTATGTTCGGACAATGAAGTTATACGCTGACGATAGAATTGCAAAAGACATCTGCCTTGGACCTTTTTTTTCTTACATAAAAATTTTCTTAAAGAAAATTAAATCATATAAAAACATCTTTTATTGTATTCAAAAATCTTCCAAATTATTTGAAACAACATATTTTTTTTTTATTTTAGTTTCATTAGTAAGAGTAATTTAATAGCTGTATTTTTCATTTGTATTTCTAAAAACAATATAACTTTTCTTGGAAGAACACGAGATTAAGGAGTGTGTCAGGCTATAACTTATTTGTTCTGTCGTATTGGTCACATACAATCGCTACTTATTTTATAGAATAGATTTTAATAATGTAGGAACATTTTCATTGAATTTCCGTAGCCCTCTTCTAAGTCCGGACGAGATTAGGTGTACAGACCTAAACCTAGACAGCAGATTGAGTTTGATGGGTCAAGTGTACCTTTTGGTCAACAATTTATTAAAACTAGTTCTCAGGCGCTCGAGAAATGCCACTAATGTGTCCACCAGCGTAATGTGCTGGCGGATATGGTTGGCGGCAATCTGTTTCTTCAATGTGTGATAAGCGCGATGATGGACAGCAAAAGTTTATCAGTCCCACTGACCTCAATCTGCGAGTAGGAGATTGCCCTAAAGGAGAATGCGGAAAAGGGCTCTGGGTTAGTCTCGTCCGCTGACCCATTTTGTAGGGGTAGATACAGAAGCAAGAGGTGGAAGTATGCTAGCGGCCTTTTTCCGACCAAAAAAAACAGTTTTTACTACGGACCTCTTATCAAATTCAAATATTTTCATGTAGTTTTCTAAGTAGAACAAAGAATAATATTATCATATTATAAAGACAGTTTTAAAGAACTGATTTAAAAATTACATTACTGAAAAAAAGGATATATTATTAAAACTAAAGGAAAATTGTAAAAAAATAGAAACTTTCCTTATTTTAATTTGGTGGGTTCTTCTGAGTTCATTACTGTGGTGACAGTTTTTGTAAGAGAATATAACGATGAGACAGTTTCTCTCGTTGTTGTGACGGTTGTGTAATTTAATGCAGCAATTAATGTATTTTTGTTACAGCGTTACACTGAATTTATTCGAAACCAATTTCTTGAAATTCATCGCGTTTTTGATATATGTATTTGATTGTAATAAAAAAATATTTTACTCTCTACTTTGATAGTTTATTTTCACAGATTTTTATTAAGGAGGTCAACATTTCAAATGCTACTTTTTTAAGTCTTAATGTAAACTTGTGTCCTACCAACCATGTATAATTTTAACAAAAGCTTCTCCATTCTCACTGTAACTTCTTTGTGCCTCTATTTTCGATGTTATTTTTCATACTAATATTTACATAATTTAATTATTTTTGGAATAAATTATTAAGAACACGATAGGATGCATTCATTCATTTGGAAAATATACAATGTAGAAAGATGTTCTAAACTAGTGAACACAAAAATTAAAATTTCTGAAACTTCCCTAAATTTTGAAATCTTCCTTACACAATTTTTATTATGTATTCCATAAATTAAAAATAAATTTAACTTATTCTCTTTTTTTTCATAAATAAACGAGTCTTTTATATTAAAAATAAATATTTTTTTTAATAAGATTCGTTATTTTTGGTGTTCAAATTTTACGTCACCATCGTGACTCATTCATTTGTTTCCCCCATACATTCGTTAACCATCAAAGTAATGAAGTGGTCCACGCATCAGTTAAATTAATAAATTCGTATATTTCCATAGCAGTTAGAGAAAATTTTGTGAGTGCTCTGAATATTAATCCATTGGAGAAATAATTTAATCCAAAACACCACCTACATTAAAGGAATTTTCCAGGTCAAAATTCAGGCCACGTCTAATTTGCTATTATTTGATTACATTGCTTTGAGAGATTTTAAAAACTTTATCCGTCTTGCTCAAATTAATATCATTATAATTTGCTGCAATTGCATTTAAAAGAAAATATAATACATTAAAAATTAACAAAAATGTACGCTGATCTTTAATACGGTCTATGCATTAAGGTTAATTTTTGATTTTAAACACGAACTAAAATTCTTCTTCCATTATTATTCCCGTCATAAAAAGATAAGAATGTTTAAATTTAGTTATTTTATATACATTATAATTTCTTAATTATCTTGCATATTGAAATACGAAATATGCATACTAAAATATATGTCCTGTTTTCGTTCTTGCGAATTATTTGATAGAATAGTCTTTGGGTGACGGCTACTTTTCTCTAAGCTGAAATTGTACCAAAATAAATATTGATTGCAAGGTTTTATTGTATTATATTTCTAATGAATATATATATTAAAGTATAATTTCAATAAGTATTAAGATTAAATACAACATAACCTGAACTTTAACATTGGTAAAAGTTTGATCTTTTATCAAATTTATTTATTGTTAAAATTATTTCTTTTCTTGTTTCCACATAAATACTATATTCACGTTTATACATAAATACTATATTTGCCATGACAAAGTCAACCAAACATGCCTTATGTCATTTTACGATTTTTTTTTAAAAATTATTAATTTGATTCTTGATAGTCATAACTCATATATAATGAAACATTATAAGCTCGTAACATGCTCGTGTATATGTTACATCACTTAAGATTTCTTCTGGTCCCATTAAAGTACTGTAAAAAGAAAGACATATAATAAAAAAAACCCTTCCATTGTTGGTAGTCTTATCTATAACAGATAAATAAGATTCGCATTTATGTACAAATATTCAATTTGATTCCAATTGTGCTCGTAGCTGACAAAGCTTGCTGAAGATCAGCCTGTCGCCACTGACAGATTGATCCTTATATCAATGCATATGAACAAACGATGCCATAAATCACTGATTAGATAACGTCTCTTCAAGGGCAAATTGTTGTTTGTACCAGAGAGTGTGAGCTATGCTGTGGTTTCTTCACTTTTATGAATACGTAGTTCAGATAAATTCGTTTTTTTATACAATGTGGATTCTAATTTTATTATTTGGATACGATATTTTCCCTCTAAATAAATACATATATGACATAAAATTGTATTGATCTGGTATTTTTTATTTTAACAAGGTTTTACTATATGAAAATAAAAGTAACAAAATTAAAACTGAATGTGAGAGGATATAAAATATCTTTATAATAACATTCAAATTATTATTATTCTATGATTACAACAGATATATAAATTATTTGATATTGATAAGTTACATCAAATTTCCTGGAGATCTCAAAGGATGACATTAAACAGAATTAGCATTGAATTAAACAGAACAGAACTGACGGACAGATTTTATATCTTTATATATATAATTCTACTGTGAGTGTGTATATCACTGAACTTCTCTGAAACGACTGGACCGATTTTGATGAAATGTTTTGTGTGTGTTCACGGAGATCTGGGAACGGTTTAGATCCACAATTTTGTCCGCTGGACAATGTTTTTTTAATTAATTTTTAATTTATTAGTAGTTGTTGATACAAACGTTTTTTTTTGACATTAGATTTGAAAACTAACTAATATGTCAATCATTCTGTCACACTTCAAAACACGGAGATTTATAAATAAATAATAAATAAAAAACGTAACAGATATTTCTTGATTATAGAGCGATATGAAGTTCGCCGGGTCTTCTAGTTACATATATAAAATGTTAAGAGAAAGTTAATATGATTTTTAATAACTTAAAAATCTTCCATACCATACGCTGAATTAAGTTGTGTTTTCATTTTATGGTTATAAACTTTAATCGCATTTAGCTATTTTATATATTTAGTATGATTTATCTTTTTTATTCAAGTTTCAATTGTTTAAATGTTTCTCCATATGGAAAGAAAAACAATATGTTAGAAAACAATAAAATAAAACATGCTATATTTTAATTTAACATACTTTAAAATGTGCTTAAACCAAATAAGTTAACACCATTTCTACATATATAACATATAAACAACATGTGCAAAGCCATATATATACATATATATGTGTGTATATTAGCCTTTATGCTATTGATATATTATAGGCCATAGTATTAAAATCTTCATATGGTTTAGTAAAATACGTAAATGTTAAAATATTTTGTACCTGTATTATACTGTTACATAATAAATCATTAAAAATGTATCAGGTAAATAAAGTTGGTAACAACGTCCACAGAGAAAACTCGTTGGAGACCGAGGTTTACAAATAACGGAATATAAATTTCGTATCACTAAACACCTTTGTATGTCCTTATTTACGTTCACAAAAGAAAAGTTACCGTTTTTCTTGAAATTGTTCTTTTTCTTGAGGCGCATGTAGGAACTTGTAAGTTACTTTTGTATGAAATCAATTTAGGATAATTTCTTAAAAAATATTTGCTATTATTTTTATTACTGCCAATATAAAAAAAAAGATTTATTTTTAAAACAACCTTTACAAAATTACATTAATATTTCATATATAACTATGCTTCAAATATTTTTTGTTAGTCGAGTAAAAATAATTGGATGAAGTGTCCGTGTATAACACACTTTATTTATTGCTTTAAGTTTAAAAGGTTCAACGGGTGTATGTTATAGTTTATTGTAGCGAACGGCAACTTGTCCAATTAGAGTCGGAAACGAAAATGCCTCTCACTTGAAACGTAGTTTTCCCATTACGTCAAGATTTCATTAATATGTTATAAAGTTTTAAAAGCATTTCATTAAATTTATATGTTACGGGTTTTATGAAAAACTAGCCGTATTAGTCTTAGTAAAACCCTCATACATAATTATATTCTGTCTCAAGGATCAACAATATACATATATACGCCAGCATGAAGTAATAATAATATGTATTTTTGTACATTCTAAAAGCATAATTATATTTCAACAAAACATTTAATTTTAAGCATAGAAATTAGCAACATTAAAGCTAATTTACATTTTAAAGGTGCTTTTAATCAAGAAGGGTTTTATTTTGATTACAGTAGCAAACAATACAAAGTAAGAGAATTGTATTTTTTCAGCTTCAACAGATCTTTCTTGACGAGGGTTGATATTTTTAGGAAACAAATGAAAGGAAACCACGAAATCCTATAAGATTTTGATTCAACTTGGATATTCGTAACAATCTTTTAGGATATTTGTGGTCGCAAGTAATGGCCTTTTCTTGTTTTTGTGGAAATGCTAGGTACAAATTTTGTTCAGATAATCAGATCTGATATAAATATAACAAGATCAATATAATTTTAATTTAATTATAAATAGTAGTGTACTTTAAGTCACTTTTTAATTATTAATAAAATAAACCTGAAGTAACTCAAGGAAATGAAATTTATTTTACATAAGGTGTTTAAGTGTTAAATTTATTTAAACCATATGAATAACACATTATAAGATTTGTTTTTTTTTCACTCTTTTTATTGACTTTTATGTTTAAAAGTTATTATTAGATATGGAGAAATATATATAAATATTAAATATTTTTAACCAGGCAAAACTTCTATTAAAGGAAAAGCATTAACAAAATTTATAGAGGTAGAAAATCTTGAGAGCTTCCATCTATTTTCCCTCAATTTGTTGGCAACTGATTCATTAGACATGAAATCTTGGAGAAAATAAAGTGAAGGCCTATTTCTGCCGATACAAGATCCTAAAATTTAATAAAAAATATTATAAAATTTCTAATTATTTTGAAAAAAGAAATA